ATGGATCTGGCTTATAATTTGAAGCACAAGAATTTATCAGAAAATGAGATTTAATTACTGTAAAGAAGAGATACATTTCCCTTGATGGGAGGCGAAATTCTGGCTTCTGGACCACAAAGAATCCTTGGAAAAGGACTTGTCTCCAAGGCATCCTAGATATAATGCTCCACAGAAGGGAGTGATACAGCTATGAACCTCACTAAGGGAACTCCAGATGGAGGACATGGTGTTAGTGGGAGATTTTAAAACTGAGACATTCCTCCACTAGCTGCAGAAACTGAAATGAAATTTGTTGTGCATCCCTTAATTGAGAGGTCTCACTTCTCCTGTTAGGGGGTAGTACAACTACTTTGCTCTCCTTCTCTTTTTCCATGGCAAATGAACTCAGCAGAAGTAGACTTCTTGCATGATTTCTTTTCATCAATCATCACATCTATCCATCAGGTACAGGAACATCTGGGCAAGCTAGTTAATGTGTAGCTGACTTCAGTTAATGTTTATAATTAAGCCATGAGATTCAACAAGCAGCGCATTTCTGAGGGATTATCACACACTTCAGGTGCAGTATGAAGCACAAGCCAAAAGCCCTGTGACTTCAGCTATTCAAAGAGTGCAATAATCCCTCAGAAATCTATTAACCATGAGTGCCTTATAGCTATTCTGGTATGGAAACTCCAAGGTAAAAAGGTCATACCTGTAACTTTAGTTAGAAATATTGGCACATACATGACATCACTGCCAGCCAATCAAAAATGGCCATTGCTGTCCAGTGTTTACAAGTCATTTTATAAATCCAAAACTTGTAAAGCAACGTGCAGGTCACTTACATATTGAAAACTTGTTCAAAAAAAATTAGTAATATCATTGCATGCAGAATGTGTCTAGAGTGGCCCTTTCCTCACGTTTTCCTCTAGCTTCAAAACATGAAAAGATTGTTTTAATTTCTTACATACATAATATTAAGCACATTAATTATTTAAAAATATATTTTTTCAGTAACATTTGTGGGCTTTAATGAATTCATGTGTACTGTCTTTTACGATTGTACTGCTTCTGTTCCAGTGTATAAACTATACATCCTCAATAATTGGCTTTTGAAAGAACATCAAAATTGGACAAAGTTGGTGTATTCTAAATTACAGTTCAGCCCGGATGGAGAAATAGAAAGGAGAAAATTACCTCCCATCTAGAAATATCGGTTCAGGAGCTGGCTTGCTGTCTTTGGCCAAAAGCATGTCAGGGATGTTTCTCTTGTGTTAAGAAATAGTCTAACAACTCATCAGTACAGTAAACTGGTCTAATAAAATCCAGCAGCCAGCAGTCAGAAACTTTTCCTTTTGCTGTTGCTTAGATTTCTAGCTATAAGCATTATCACAAAAGTTAAATCAGAGAAAATAAACTATCATTAAAAAAAAAAAAGAACCTAAACTGAATTTTTAATATGATGATTTATTCAGCATGCAACAAAATTATGAGCAGAATTTCTTCCAAATTTGGAAAACTTTCATCCTTACTTTAAAGTGGCAATCTGCAAGACATTTCTGTTACGCACCAACTGGTGACTCGTGCTGTGATAATGTGCTCTATTTGGTATGATGAAGGACCACTCAAATGTGACTTTTTAATTGCATGAATATGACTGAACAACATTAACCATTCAGTGCATGATGGTTTGCGAAAATAAGTGGGCCTTTCTTTATGACTTGCAGAGTTAACAAATAGGCTCTGTCAGGCCAGTGAGAAAAAGTGGGTGGCAGATCTAAGCCTTTCGTAAGAACACACTGATATTTGAATCTGCAGTTTCCATGTTCTAACTGATGTCAGCCATTGGGTGAAAGCCTACATATCAGGTAGCCAAGACAAGCATCTAGCTGCCACTTGAAAGCTATCTCTTTCAGAGAAGAACTGAACTAGCATTCTTTCTATGGCTGCGTCTGCCAGGCAGCAGACAGATGCCCGCTGTGCTAGCTAAACCTCTCATATTCTAGAGTGCAGTATGCGTTGCATGAAACCGAGCTATAGATTACAAAGGACCACAGCAAAGGATAGACTCATGGATTTCATCCCTAATTCTTAAGCCAAGGGCATTAATGGAAATGCTGCTTAAGTCAAAAGATAGAGTCACAAAAGCCACACTGTTTTCGTAAGCAGTGATGACTTTCTGTAAAACACTAGTCATAGAAAATAACTTCAGATCAAAGCGATCACAAAGTTGAGTCAGTTTAAATTAAATGGGAAGTGAGACAAACAAACCCAGAACCTATTTATTTATTTATTTATTTATTTATTTATTTATTTCAGGGATAGAAACTTCAAGACATGAATATACCCATTTGTTGAAGTCAAGTGACTTCAGAATTCCCAAATATCAGCACACAGGAGGCTCAGCACACTGCAACTCAAAACCTCTGGAGCTTGCAACCTCAGGAAATGGAAACTTGCAGAGTAGAGGTCTGGAGGTGGGCTAGAGCACTGCCAGATGGCTAACAGAAACAAGGGGAGAGAAAAGAATCGTGCTGAGGTAGAGGAAAACAACTCACAAAGCATAATGCATTCAGATCAGAAGAAATGACTAATCTCCTCTCCAGAGCACAGCAAGAACTGCCATGTGAAACATCAGCTCCAGTAGCAAGTGATTTTACTCTCCCAGCATACTGCATGACAAGTTGCCTTGTGATAGGATTGGAAAAATTAGGACTGAAGGACATAAAATAATGACTTGTGTGCTGAAAAGATCCAAAGTCAACTGCTTTGAGAGTATGCTTTAGAACAACTTCTGGAGGAAAAAAAAATTAAGGATGTGAGGAAAAGTGCTTAATAAATTAAAAAATAATGAAGGAGGATCAAAATGCCAGTATTTGATGAGATAATGCTATCAAATGCAGGAAAAGTGAACCTTCTAGTAGAAATCTCTGAAATGTCTTTTATTGTGCGACAAAAGAAATATTTAAAACATAGAAAGAAAGGATTAGTGCTGGAGCTGCCAGCTGAGTTCAGACAGGTTGGGTCCTAAGGAAATCTTTCATTTCAGTTCAGGACAAATGGGAATTCATTGGTATTTATCTTTTACTGCAGCACAGCCCACAGGATGCTTTTCAGTGCAAAGATCACTGTAAGAATACCAAAATCTACATCAGCATTGGGCATGAAGAAAAGGGATGTTTCCTATTCTATGTCTCTAACAAATGATTACTTAGTTTTATCCATAGAATTTCACCTACTGAGAGGAATAGAAGATTTTACATGGCCACAGTACAACACGAGGAGAGCAAAATAGTTACAGAAGTCTTGATGATTTTTAACTACCATTAAAAATTGAATTATGAGTTTTGTGAAACATTTTGCTGGCTTCCTTGGACAGAACGTAAAATTCTGATTGCTCTCTCACCCATTCCCAAATGTTTTTTGTTTACCTGGATACTCTCATTATACAACTGTTTGTGGCATGCCACTCTGTCATACTTCGTTGACTAATTGCTGATAACTGAAGTAGTAATATTTAACATTTCTTCTACTTTACCAAACGTGAATGTAATTTTCTAGACACATATCCCCAAATTTACTTATACTCCACTTTCAAAACTTTGTTGTTCTGATGCTGTTGTATTCAGTTATCACTCATATTTATAATTTTAAACAAAACATCCATTCCAGTTTCTGACTTTGGTCTGGCATTAAGATCTAATTCTTCTTTCAGTAAAAGTGAATGCCTTTTGTTTAAAAATGTAGCAACAAATCACTGCAAATTCAGGAAATAGCGGCACTGTACGCTTAAGATTTAAAGGGATGTTAACTGCTTGCTCCGTCCAAAAGCCTTGAAACAGGAATCTGTTTTGTAATACTTCTCCAGGTTCTAAATATATCATAGCAAACAAGAATTACTACTGTGCCATCAATGTGGCTATTAAAGCCTTGGAATTTCTTTTATTGTACTAACTCCAGAAACATTTTAGAGTGCTGTCCCTAGAATGGTCATTCAGTTAACCTAAGGGATAATTAGCAAGCCTGAGTTATCTCGGATGTTGTGATAATATGCTGATATAAGAGATTTATACTCCTTGGATGAAGACCATAGTTGCTTGCAATCCAGGCCAACCAATGAGATAAAAATCAATGTTTGCCAGATGGAAAAAAAAAGAAAGACCAGAATTACCAGAAAGGAAAATGTTTTCTGGTTACCAGTTCTTCTGGGCATATCAAACAGTGGTGATTATGAAAGCCAGTGAACCTTTCAGGTTGACACAGACTATTTGTGGGTCTAGCTGAGGATGAGGTAAATATTAATTTCGTAGGGTGAAATCCTGGTCACACTTATGAAACTCCCACTGATTTCAGCATGGCCAGGATTTCACTCTGTGGGGATATAAATTGCCCCAGTGGTTATCTGCACCTGTGACTCTGTAGGTTCAATAACCAAAATGAGACCAGTCACTAAAGGGACCCTTAAAAATTAGACTTTTTAAAAGGAGGATCTCTATAAAAAAGCATTTGACAATGTCCATAAAAATTGAATTACCATTCAGTGTAAAACATAAGCCAGAAAAAAATGACTTATAAAACTTTGCTTCATATGGAAAAACAAGTGTCAGCACCTCCTGCTGTATTGTTAATATACAAAAATAACATAAATCCTGCAAGGTCTATGAGAGCTTACTGTGGATGACTAATATTGAAGGCACCCTCATAAAATACATAATGCAGTTAGCAATCTTCAGCAGATCTTGGGGGATTTCTTTCTCTCTCTCTTTTAAAAATGTAAACATGTATGTATGGTTGTTTTGGTTTTTTTTTTCACTTTCTCTCCTTTCTCAACATCTGTTTCAGGTCACCCTTGAATCCCACCTTCTCTCCAGGAATGCAACACAATACTGCGTTCAGCAGAGCCCCCCAATAAGCTCTTATACATGCATTCTCCAAATGACAAATAATCTCTGTACATCTTCTGGGAACAATAAAAATCCTTGGATGTGCTCCCAGAGCCCTCAGGAAGTTCAAAAATCTTCAGAGGGGGGCCCCAGACTGAGGTTTTATCTCTAGAATTTTACATAACAAACTTGGTGAGCATTGCATAACAGATAATACATATTCAATGGAAAAAAAAAAAAAAAAAAACAACAAAAAAAACCAACAAAAAGGAAAAAAGAACACGACACACACACAAAAACAAAAAACCAACAACAAAAAAAAGAAAAACCAAGTCATTAAGAGTAACACTAGGGAAGGTCAGCTGAGTCAGAGACATAGTGTGCTGCAGTCACTTCCCTGTGAGAGCTGGGATTCTTTTCTTTTATCACCTTTATGCTGTGCTCTCTGGAGCTTTGGAACTGCAGCTGCTTTTGGTTGATAGACTGTTGAGCAGGAGGGAGATGACAAAGTTCAGATAACACTAACAAAGCTGCATGATTTTCCTGCACTCTTCTTCACACTGAAGATTCTTTTCCTTCTTGTGTAGTCTATATCATGTAATGCTCATGGCACAACCTCCGTGGTTTTCTCTGACATTTTTGAACTTGCGTAGATAACTCTTTCCAACTATTCATCCATTATTAACTGTAGCCTGAGACTGGCCAGCTGAGTCCCATGGCATCTGTATGTCACTAAGCTACTAACACTTATATAAAAAAGAGGATCTTTTAAAGATCTGTATAGATGGTCCTAATGCAAATGTTCGAGTGTAGATAAAAATACTTGTGTATGAGGAGACATTTAGAAGAGTGTTTCTGCATGAGAAAACCAATCCACTTTTGCGAACTAGTATGCAAATGATAAAAAATAATGTATTGTTAAGGAAGTCACAAATTGTAAATTAGCACAGTGGATTCTTCATGCATGGAAAAAGAAATCAGTTTATTTGCCGATGGCTTTTTTTCAGTTTGATGGATCCATGGATTGCAGTGATCATCTCATAAGGGAAGGACAACAGAAAGTGATCATTCACCATCTGGATGTTGGAGAAATAATGAGTAAGTGACATACCTCATTCACAAGAATATTTATGTATATTCAGATTTTGTTAAATATTTTTCCTATATTTTACAAGTTGAAATGTAAGGATAGTGAAGGGCCAAGACTTAAATTCAGTGAACTCTGAGAATAATAGCATCTCCCATGAGTTCAGCCATGCCAAAGTCATCTTTGGCAATAATTACTTCTGAAAAGACAGTACTAATTTCTGGTACATTCTTCTTCAGTAGTCATGGTCATATTGCGATTCTTCTTAAAGTAAAGAGAATCACAGTGCTGATAACATTTGGGATGACTCTCCCTTAAGAATAGATTTTTTTTTCTTGTTTGTTTTTATTTTGTTCCCAATTATGCCAATTTTTAATGACAAATGATTTTTAGTGTTGAAGGATTAAGCAAACTTTGATACCAGCACTGCCTAAATGCAGCCTTAGCCATATTCAGAAGAGGCTAATTTACCCTGCCAACAAGCAAAAGGAAGGATTGCTGAGGAATTCCATAAGAGTGGAATTCATCCCTGTATAGAAGGCCAGCATGAGGCCCAGGAGCTATTTCAGTGGGACTTTAAGCCATAGCAATTTAAATGGGATTTAAGCTGTACGTAAACCTGTGCTGGCTTCCTGCATAGAAGAGACTTTCAACCAGAGACATTATGAGGAAGACACAGAGGGATTACAAGTACTGTAGATACATTTCCATGCCTGAAGCTCAGGATATGAATGTGCATGAAACCTACAACAAGGTAAAGGAGGGTGCAGCCCCCCTGTGTGTTAGCTATGCGGTCATAGTAAATGAGGTAGATTTCCTTTAAGGGAGAGAAATTTTGTGAAGTGCTAGTATATTTTAAACCACACATTGCACTCTATGCGCACCTCATCCCTTACTACCAAATGAAAACAGACTCTGTTTCCCACCCAAACCAGCCTTTTGAGATGTAGGGACAGTTATTCTAGACTTAAGAACACATTAAATGAATCCATGGCTGCCAAGCCATAGTTACTCTGTGTGAGGCTTAAGCAGGGTGAACATGTGGTTGTCTGTACTCAGTCATGCAAATATGCCTTTACATAGATAAGCACAGGCTCTGCAAACTTCATCATTCAAAGTCAGGAAAGCTCTTTATGGTCAAATGGCAAATACTGAGAACTGCAGCAATACTGAAGCTACCTTCCTCTGGACAAGTTGACCCCCTGAAGTTAGCTTTGCTATCAAATACAGACAGACTCCTGAAATCCTGCTTTACTTACATGCCTTCCCTCATCACCGCTCCCCTCTATTAACAAAAAAAATTAACATACCCCTTAATGACCGACTTTAAAGAATTTTTCCAGCTGAAAATGTATCTCGCTAGGTTAATTTTAATACAGATTTTATACCCAGTGCACTGATGTTATCTGCTTGCAAAAAAAAAAAAAAAAAAAAAAAAAAAAAAAAGGAATGTCTACAAGTCAATAACAAGAATGAAATGGCCAGTATTCATTTCGTTTATAACAACATATGCATGCCCATGAAATTATATCATGAAGTTCTATCTTTCTATCTATGGGATTTAGCTGTCTCTGTTCCCTTACTACTTAAAACCAGGTTTCCTAAAACTTGAAGGCTAGGTATATCAGACCATCACAGAACATGGCTAATGGAAGAAGGGATGATAGTGTTTGCTGTGGCTGTTTTCTACTTTTCAGACTGGAAGAAGCAGTCCTTCAGAGCAGCCCTGCGGAGAAGGACATGGGGTCTTGATAGATGAAAAACTTAGCATGAGACAGCAGTGTGCCCTTGAGATTTGGAAGGCAAATGGTATCCTGGGCTCCATCAAAAGAGGAGTGGCCAGCAGAGACAGGGAGGTGATTGTCCCCCTCTACTCTGCTCTTGTGAGGCCCCATCTGCAGTACGGTGTCCAGGTCTGGAGTCCCCAGTACAAAAAAGACAGGGAGCTGTTGGAGAGGGTCCAGAGGAGAGCCACGAAGATGATCAGGGGACTGGAGCATCTCCTCTAAAAAGAAAGGCTGAGGGAGCTGGGCTTGTTCAGCCTGGAGAAAAGGAGGCTGCGGGGGGACTTCATTGCAGCCTTTCAATACCTATGAACAGGAGGGGAATCAACTCTTTGAAAGGGTAGATAACTGCAGGACAAGGAAAATGGTTTTAAGTTGAGGGAGGGGAGATTTAGTTTGGATGTCAGGGGGAAGTTCTTTACAGAGAGAGTGGTGAGGTGCTGGCACAGGCTGCCCAGAGAGGCTGTGGATGCCCCGTCCCTGGAGGTGTTCAAGGCCAGATTGGATGGAGCCCTGGGCAGCCTGATCTAGTATTGAATGTGGAGGTTGGTGGCCCTGCATGTGGCAGGGGGGTTGGAGATTCATGATCCTTGAGGTCCCTTCCAACCCTCACCATTCTGTGATTCTGGGATTCTGGGATTCTGGGATTCTGTGCTTGGTGATCAGGTTCTTCCATTGCTGATCTAGGGTAGGATTGGACTTAATGGGCTAACCACTGGAAGAAGGGAGAATACCAGTGAGGCTGCCAGCTACTCCTTCTGGTGGTAGTTTACACGAAACTATGTATGCTTGGAGCGTATCAGATATTTGGGAAATTTTCTCAGAAAAACACATCCACTGAAACTGGCAGACCTACATTTTGGATGATAGTCCATAATTTTGAGTCTAAATCCACTCTGTGAGTTTAGTGTTCAGGATCTGTGTAAGAAGATGACAGTTATTAGTTATTAGTGTGCGTGCTCAGAGTTAAAAATAGAAATTTGCCAAAGACTCACAGCAAAATATATTTGCTTGGAAAATACTTTTGCATAAGATTTAGTAGTTCTAAATGAAATCTATATTGGTATTTGCCCTTTGTAACTCTGGAAATTTTGTCATAAGTAAAGGTTGAGGAGAAGATTCTGGAAGATTTAGAAGCCTAAAGGTTTCACTAGATGCCTAGGAGAACATTTATTGATAGACTAGGCAGATTACTCCTTGTTTTTCATTCATTTTAGTTGGAGTTAGGAATGGACATAATTCTGGTTAGACGAAGAGTAGCAAAGATTTTAATAATGATCAGACGGCTAACTAAACCATAGAAAAGTCATTATATTTTAGTACAAAAATTACTTTGCAGTAATTTTATGTGAAAATGCTAATGATTTATTTCTGTGTAAACTATTTTAAAGTAATTTTATTTTTTTTGTAAAACACATTGAGTGACTTCTGCGGTATTTTTGCAAACTAGAAAACAGACCTCACCAGTCTCATTGCTTAAACATATTTAACATAGTTACTGAAGCAGAAACTTATCATGTGTGAATGTGAAGCAGAGTCAGTTGCGTTTGACTGGTACATACCTTAGGCTACAGAGATAAACTGTACTGAGTCATGTATGGTATGTTTTTCTAAGCATTATAGCCATGCTCAAAAGATCAAATTTCTGTCTCAGTTTCAAAGCTTCATTTTTTTGAATAGGAGGTAGATTATATTTTTAATTTTATAACAAATTAAATTTGGTTCAAATGTGCACAAGAGATACAAATTGTGTAACTTAATTCTTTTTTTTTTTTTGCTCTTTTTTTTTTTTATTTTTTTAAATGTAGAGGTATTTATGAAAAGGACAACTTAGTTCCCAGAGCCAGGCAACAAGGCAAGAATGATGTTCTCTTGCTTTAGGCACTGGTCTAAAACAGAAGAAATCTACATTAAATTATTTGCTTCTCTATGGACATCTTGTGTCACCATTTAACCTCACAGTGCCTCAGTTCCCCTTTTACAAAACAGACGTAATATTTCCATGCTTTAATACACCTCAGGAGGATTCATTAAATGGCTTCTTCTTTGAAATGCTCAAGATTTTAAGTACTCTAAATGAATCAGCCTTATTTATAGCTGTACCATAAAGCTGCATTATATATCACTGTATCAGAGGAAGGCAGAGTTCAGCCAAGTCAGATGAGGATGGGATTTTTGTGTGGAAGGAAAGTTAGGCAGTGGTGGCCACAAAGGTAGTTAGTAAGAAAACAAGGGAAGAGAGGAATTTGAACTTCTACCTTTCTTGTGTTTTACTTTTTGTGCATTGAAAAGCTCTCCAAACTTCTATATGGGTGCATTTTAGCCTGGAATCAATATATCACTGACAACTGTAGCAGATCTTGACTCTTGGTTAAAAGAACCTATCACAGAAAGACTGGTTGTGTTAAAGGAAATTTGTAGCTAATGCCCATGAAGAACCTTATTAAGATCAAGAAACAAAACACCTAAACCAAGCTGCTGACATCAGCTGAATTTGTGCAGCATCAGCATGCAGAGATAAAAAGTGAAAACGCATAGCCCAGTAATGAATATGACTTCATTATGGACACACTGTATTCTCCAAAGAGGCTTTGAAAGCAATTTAAGATTCCTACGAGCTCTTAGGACCTTAGACTGTAATCCTGCTTTCTAAAAATTTGTTTGTGAACAAGAAAGAACTTAGCAGCCCCACTTCTGGGGAGAACCTAGGCATTGCCCTCAGCTCTACGAGGCCAGCAGCGTGAGCCTGCTGGCACAGTGGGGCTGTCTGTGGGGTGTGCTGGTGTCATTCTTGAGGACTGCATAAAGCCTTCTCGTCTGTCATTTCCTCTACACTTTGCTAGCACAGCATGAAGTGTGCTATTAGAAACAGAGTTTATTGCAGCCTTGCAAACATTTATTGGGCAGCTTCTAACGTGGTGTCAAGTTATGGTAATATCATGTTCCCGAGAACGTCTTGGAGAATGTTAGTGTTTCGAAGAAGGCCCCGCTGAGAATTCTCCTTTTAGAAAAGTGAAAGGCAACACTGTTTAAGGAGATGGAGGCAAAGATATAAAGCCTCTCTTCTGGGCTGACCCAGCATAATATTCCATTAGCTCAAATGGCAGAGCAATTGCCTTCAAAAGCCCAAGGATGAAGCTTTAGATCCCCCTGCAGATTTATTCTGAGCATATCATATCGTAACTGCTATGTAATTTATATTCTTTAATTAGACGGCTCTTTGATGG